GCATGTAGAATGAATTAAGAGGGATCTAATTTGTTCTAGGACACATTCACACACACTTAATCGTTCGCTAAGAGATTAGTAGCGATTAAGGGGCCGTAAGCTCGCTCGTCTTGGCAATAATTTAGGATCTTGTCGCATGAGAGATCAGCCTGGTCCCCTAAATTATTGTACTCTACGCCGCGAGAGCGGTAAGAACTTAGTAATGATTAGCTAGGCTCAATTAAATTAAATTCATGAAATTAGGCCTGATCTGCCAGAAATCTGGTTACCCCGAAATCGATCCCTGTTCCCTTCGTCATTAATTAGAAAGAACCCCCTAGTTTAATCGCTCATTCGCATTAGTTTAATTTTTTATACCAATCATATCTCGCACGACGCATTTATTTTATTTATTTCTTTTAATCGCTGAATTTAATTAATTCTTGATTCCCTTTTGTCCGTCCCTGTGGAGACGATACTCGTACTTACACCACTATATTACGATCTATTTTAAGTGCGAGAAAACACACATCGTGCCCGAAAATGGTGGTATCCGAGATGGCTCTCTCGTAGGGCATGGGGATGCCAAAATGTTCGGCAAACTCAAGTTTTGTAATCGAATAGTTTTGATTGAACAAACGAAACTTGAGGCTATCATCCCTAAAGTCATCCTCATCACTCTCAAACTGCACCGAGCTTATGAATTCATAGATAATTCTTTCATTCGAGTTGTATTTCATTTTGAAAATACGGTCCATACTCAACTCATGAAAGAACTTTTTCATACTCTTATACACACCCAATTCATGGAGAGCATTGTGGCATAGAAAACGAGAAGGTTTTACTTGCCTTTTAATCGTTGAGAGGAGTCTAGCCCGGTGCTCGTTATCGGCGGGAATGAGGTCCTCAAAGCCCGGAATAGGTGCCATGATGTTTGAACTCTCTCCCCTATTCTTCCTTGGAGCCATTTGTGAAGCTTTGGAGCTCAAAAAGTCAAAAATTCGAATGGGGGTAGGGTTTTTTGGATTTGGTGGAAGTTTGGGGAAAATGGGATTTTTGGGTATAGATATGGAGAGGAGAGGGAGGGGAGTATTTTTGTGGTGGAATGGGTTGATTTGGTGGAGAATTGAGAGAGATATGGTAGAGAGAAGGGTTGAAAATGGAGTTTGGGGGAGAGGGGGTTTGAAATTTTGGGAGTGTTGGGGAAGATGAAGTGTTTTGGGGTGTTGTTGGGGTTAAATCCGCAGGTGTACCCGATCGAGTATCCCTGTATACCTGATCGGGTACCGGAGACAGGGGTTAAGGGAAGTGGTTTTTCTGCTTATACTCGACCGAGTATGGAAGGTTACTCGATCGAGTACTGGAGGCAGGGATTAAATAAAGTAGTTTTTCCCGTTATACTCGACCGAGTATCAACCTGTACTCGATCGAGTACCGAAGACAGGTTTTTTTTCTTCTCATTTCAGCTCATACTCGACCGGGTACAGTAATATACCCGATCGAGTATGCCTCTATTTTTGAAAAAATTTGGTTATTTCGATCGAGTACTGAACTTGGGTTCTTCTTTTCAGTAATACCCGCCCGAGTATGTTTCAATACTCGAGCGGGTATATCCCCAGGTATCATTTTTTTTGTGTTTTTTTTTTGTTTTTTTTTAGAACTCACACACTCTACTTGATAAAATGATACAGAAAACATACCTTGCTTGGGTTGCCTCCCAAGAAGCGCTTTGTTTAACGTCGTGGCTCGACGATATCTTCATTGCTCCTTTATTCATAGACCGGTTCAGAAAGGTCTATGATCTCCACGTTCTTGGGTTGAAAACCCTCAAAGAAGGGTTTTAGTCTCTGTCCGTTCACTTTGAGCACTTCTCCCGTCTCCGGGTCTTCAATTTCCACCGCCCCGTGTGGATAGATTTTGACCACTTTGTATGGTCCGGTCCAACGGGATCTCAACTTTCCCGCAAATAGACGAAGGCGTGATTGAAATAGGAGGACTTTGTCATCAAGTTTAAAATTCTTCCTTATGATCATTTTATCATGCCACTCCTTCGTCTTTCTTTTGTAAATCTCCGCATTGTCATAAGAATCCAGGCGGAGTTCTTCCAATTCTTGTAATTGGAGCTTCCTATGTATACCGGCCTCGTCAAGATTGAGGTTGAATTCTTTTACTGCCCAATATGACCTGTGTTCAAGCTCTACGGGAAGGTGACAAGCTTTTCCAAACACAAGTCTATAAGGTGACATACCGATTGGAGTTTTGTAGGCGGTTCGGTATGCCCAAAGTGCATCATCAATGCGTTTCTCCAATCCTTCCTGTTCGGGTTCACTGTTTTCTGGAGTATAGATTTCAACTCCCTATTCGAGGTTTCCGCTTGGCCATTGGTTTGAGGGTGGTAAGCGGTGGAGATCTTGTGTGACACCGCACCCGAACGTCCTTGAAAATTCAAATTTAAAAATTTGAAGTTTATGTATTGAATTTCTGATTTCCAAACAATTGTGAAACGATTGTTGTTCTACGTAATTAATGATCGATTATTATACTGTTCGAACTCGTATATTAGTATCGGGCCTTATTAATAAATAAAAGGGCCTATCATTATCTAAATAGCGAGGCATAACGTTTCAAGACAAGTTGAAGAAGGGCGGGCAGCCCAGATATTATTTTGGGCTCAACCCGCTAAAGTAACAAGTATTCGGGGACGACGTCGTAGGCCCACTCGGGGGCGACCCACGCGGCTAGTAGTCCATTAATATGGATAACAAATGTCAAAATAAGTGATAGGATGATTTGAGATAAATACAAATGCCTATGATTCCATCTTTGACATTATTGAGCTAAATAATGGGAATAGGACTTTCCTTCTACAATGTCCATCTTGTAAATAATTGGGATGATCCTACACATATTGGAGATCAATAATGTGATGTAGGAAGTTGACTTGTTCTAAATAAATTAGGATGAGTACAAAAAGACATCTTTTGACAAAGGTAAAACAATAGGACCCATCCTCCCATTTTTGGGTGTATTGATAGATATTTTGGATCCCAAAATAATTCGGATCAATGGGGAACCACTCCACATGATATTAGTACTTGCAAGACAAGGAAAATATGTGAGAAGACTCACCTTGGCCGCACCACATGGAGAAGCACTGCCCATGACACAATTGGAATCAAATTTTGGGGCCACCACCACTGTTTTCGCACAAACAGGTGTGCTGTTTTGTCTCCCTTCATTTTGAGAGTTGTACTCGTCCAAATGAGGTGTATAAGGTGTCCTTGGATAGCCTTTGAAGTCTATTTTCATAATTGAGTGGCCTCTGTTCTAGAGGAGAGAGTAATCATCCAAAAAGCGATCTGAAGCGAGCAGTGGTCTGTAAACTCGAGCTCTGAGAGTGCTGAAGCTGTTTGGTTGATATCTCGAGTTATACCAATCCAATTAAGGCGTGTGGGATACCAAAAGAAAGCTCTCAAGACGAGGAATCCTTGAAGGTCTGGTTTGCATCAATCAGAGTAGTGGAGGGCTTCCAAATCGTCCGAGCAAAACACAACCTCGCAGAAACGGATCCACTCTTCTAAAGTGAGTTGTTAACCCCAAAACCTTTCCTTTCATTTTCCAAATGATATGAACGATTGGTGGAACTATGGCACACTAATCCAAGTGTATAATATGTCCTTGTAAAGTTATTTTATTGATGAAAAGGTTAGATACTAACCTAGGGCAAAACTTGGAAAACTAGGAAACGAGTTAGCCGGGAAAACAACCATTCTAGGGGCTGTTTTCGTATCAACAATTAGGGGTTGAAATAGCAACTTGAGGAGGCTGTTTAACACCCATTTTCAAGCAAGGAACCAGTTATCAATCTTCCTTGGCCGTGGCTTTGGTCATTGGATCGAGAAGGAAAGTTTTAAAGCTCATTTGAGGTGAGGACCGACATCTAGTTGCTTACAACTTGTAGGTTAAGCATGAGATTACCTAAATGCCAAAATCATGTTTTTCCATGGATTATGATGATAAATTATTGATGGAATATTGATCTATTTTCCAAAGAATGAAATGAGAAATGATTTGGCAAAGTATTGATAAAAATGGAGTTAAATGAACTATTGTGTGAAATAGTCATTTTACTCATGTGTGAATTGTGTAGATACATAAATGATTATTTATGTATTACATTGAATGATTAAGTTGCTGCTACATATCTCTAAATATGTAGGGTTTTACAAATGGAATATATGATGGATAAGAATAATCTTAATAGTATTGAAATACTAGTTAATGATTGTTGTAATTGTTAAGGGAATTGAATCTAAGGATTTGATTATAATTGATGTACTTGATTGTGATGCAAGTGACAAATTTGATGTAATGTGATGCTAAGACCATGGTTGGGCAGTCCGTAGGGATGTCCCAAAATAGATTATTGATATTACAATTCTAGGCATAGTGAGTGCTTAGGAATTGGGGTCTATGCCAATGTAAGGAGATGTACTTGAGCCCGTGCTCATAGAATTGCATTGGGTAGACATGATGAGGTGATTGTTGTGCATGGTGATGTAGTTGAGTTGGACTCAAGAAATGCACGGTGGAGTAGTTAGCTTATGTTAATTAAGGTGCATGGTGATGTAGTCGAGTTGGACTCGAGAAATGCACGGTGGAGTAGTTAGCTTATGTTAATTAAGGTGCATGGTGATGTAGTCGAGTTGGACTCGAGAATGCAAACATATGTGTTAGGGTTGAACCCTATGTATTGTTGTGACTAGGGGTCACGGGATTTTGGGGTATGTTTGATAAACAAACCTTGGGCCTACGGGCCGACTACTTGACTTTATATATATAAAGTAAGTATATTTTTAAAGGGGTAACTTGGGGTTACGGCCTAGATTATATTATCACCCTATTTGAGGGTCTTGTGTTTGAAATACTTGTTGTATATCTATTAGATGCCATCCACACCAGCACTTTATAGCCCTATAGAGTGCTGACCCCTTCGGGGGCGTCCCACCACCATTTTTCAGGTTGAGGCTAGAGCTTGCTTCCTGTGCTCGTTGCTCGAGAGATCATCTAGGAGCGAAGACTTGGTTCGTGCTTCCTCCATTCGGGTTTTAAACATTAATAAACGTGCTCATGGGTATTTTACTATAGAGCCTGCGTGCTCATGAATAGCCCAGTGTGGCCTTTTTGTTTTAAACAATGTTTTCCGCTGCATTATGAATTACTTATTATGTTTGTTTATGGATGTTATATGTGTGAATGATATTCAAGACGCTTTGTATAATATGGATGTGTTAAACTGCGGTTGACTATTCGTATTGTACGGCGGGTTGTTGACGTGTCCGGGTAGGTCCGGGGCGTGACATCTTGTTAGTCACACCATATTTCTTTAGTAGGGATCCCACAATTTTATTACAAAAATGTGTGCCTCGATCGCTTATTAAAATTCGAGGGACCCCGAACCTTGAAAATATGTGTGATTTGAGGAAACTTGCTACCACCTTGGCATCATCAGTTTTTGTTGCTTTTGCCTCCACCCATTTGGAGACGTAATCTACCGCAAGTAGGATGTAGATGTTACCTTGAGAGTTTGGGAAAGGTCCCATGAAGTCAATACCCCATGCATCGAAAATCTCACAGAAAAGCATGGGGTTTTGTGGCATTTCGTTCCTCCTTGAAATGTTGCCTGCTCTTTGGAAATTGTCACAAGATTGACAAAAGCCATGTGCATCCCGGAATAGACTCGGCCACCAAAAACCACTTTCAGGAATTTTCATTGTCGTCCGTTTCGGGCCGAAATGTCCTCCACAAGCATAAGAATGGCAAAACTCTATAATGTGAGCTATCTCATATTCGGGGACACATCTTCGGATTATTTGATCCTTACAATGTTTCCACAAATATGGGTCATCCCATACATAGAGTCTTGAGTCCATTTTTAATTTTTCTTTTTGAGATTTTGAGAATTGTGGAGGAAATTTGCCGGAAACAAGGAAGTTTACAATGTTTGCGTACCATGGTTGTATGACTTTGATGGAGAAAAGAGTTTCGTCCGGGAATTCGCCTTTGATGAGATTTGTGTGAAGATCTTCAATGTCTTTGTGAGGAATGAGTCGGCTTAAATGATCGGCCACCAAGATCTCCGCTCCTTTCTTATCTTTAATCTCCACGTCAAACTCACTCAATAGGAGGACCCATCGAATGAGTCTTGGTTTGGCTTCCTTCTTGGTCATAAGGAATCAGAGAGCCGCATGGTCGGTGTAAACGATAAATTTCGTTCCAAGAAGGTAGGAACGAAACTTCTCCAAAGCAAAGACTACCGCTAGCATTTCCTTCTCGGTGGTGGAGTAGTTCTTTTGAGCTTCATTTAAAGTCGAGGAGGCATAGTAGATTACATGAGAAGCCCTCCCGACTTTTTGGCCTAAAACAGCCCCCACCGCATAATCACTTGCATCACACATGATCTCAAAAGGAAGAGACCAATCGGGAGCTTGTATGATTGGAGCGGTTACCAACCTTGCCTTCAAAGTGTCAAAAGCCTCCTTGCATTCGTCATTGAGATCAAATTCCACCTCCTTTTGCAAAAGTTTGCATAAGGGAGATGAGATTTTGGAGAAGTCTTTGATGAACCTTCTATAGAATCCGGCATGTCCAAGGAAAGAGCGGATGTCCCGTACATTTGTTGGGTACGGGAGCGTTTGGATGACATCAATTTTGGCCTTGTCTACTTCAATGCCTTTTGAAGAGATCACATGCCCAAGAACAATCCCTTGTTCCACCATAAAGTGGCATTTTTCAGAATTTAGGACAAGGTTAGATTCAATGCAACTTTTTAGCACAAGAGTGAGATGGTAGAGGCAAGTGTCAAAAGAGTCCCCATGAATTGTAAAATCATCCATAAAGACCTCCATGAATACCTCCACAAATTCGGAGAAGATGCTCATCATACACCTTTGAAAGGTGCCCGGTGCGTTGCATAATTTAAAGGGCATTCGTCGGTAGGCAAAAGTGCCAAATGGACATGTGAAGGTTGTTTTCTATTGGTATTTGGAAATACCCGGAGTAACCATCAAGAAAACAATAGAACTTGTGCCCCGCTAGCCTCTCTAGCATTTGATCAATGAAGGGCAATGGAAAGAAGTCTTTTCTAGTTACCGAATTGAGCCTTCGGTAGTCAATGCAAACTCGCCACCCGTTTTGCACTCGGGTGGGCACCATTTCGCCATCTTTGTTTTCAATGACCGTCACTCTGGTCTTCTTTGGCACCACTTGGGTTGGACTCACCCATTTGCTATCGGAAATGGGAAAGATGATTCCCATTTGAAGCAACTTGATCACCTCCTTTTTCACCACCTCCATCATGGGTGGGTTCAATCTTCTTTGCGGTTGCCTCAACGCTTTGGCCTCATCTTCGAGTAAGATCTGGTGCATGCATGTGGATGGGCTAATGCCTTTAATGTCGGCAATAGACCATCCAATGGCCAACTTGTACTCCTTGAGGACCGCAATCAATTTTTCCTCTTGTTCTTAGGCTAAGGCATTTGAGATAATCACCGGTAGAGTGTGATTTTCGCCCAAGAACACATGTTTCAAATTTTCAGGGAGTGGTTTTAATTCCACCTCCGGTGCCTGCAAAACAGATGGTAGCGGCTTCTCGCTCGGAATGGTTAGTGGGAGGGCTTTAGAGCCCGGTGGCAAAAGTGGGAGTTGATTTAACTCCGCCACCATAACCTTCATGTTATTTGACATAGAGTATTCCAAAGTGAACTCCTCTACATCATTCTCAATTGAGCTTAATATTTCATCTTTTTCCTCAACTTCAAATACATCTTGGACCCAAGTGTCACAAGTGTCAATGGCAAAAAGGGAGTGATTATCGGTGGGATATTTCATGGAGTCATAGATATTAAATTCAACTTTCTCACCATCGAACTCCATGGTTAATATTCCACTAAAGACATCAATTTTTGCTTTGGCCGTCTTTAAAAAGGGTCTTCCTAATAAAATAGGGACTGCATTTTTATCGTTCTCCATTTCGAGAACGTAAAAATCAGCGGGAAAAATTAAATTATCCACCATGACGAGTACATCCTCTACTACACCTTTTGGGTAAGCATTGGATCTATCGGCAAGTTGGATAACAACCCCCGTTTCATGTAAAGGGCCTAGTTCTAGGGACTTATATAAAGAATATGGGATGACATTAATTGATGCTCCCAAATCTAACATAGCCCTAGAAAAACTAGAATTTCCAAGTGTACATGGTATAGTGAACATTCCCGGGTCACTATACTTTTTAGGAAGTTTCTTTTGAAAAACGGCCGACACTCTTTCGCTTACTTGGATTTTATGCTTGCCATTTAATTTGTGTTTCCTTTTAATTGTGCAAAGCTCTTTTAAAAACTTTGCAAACCTAGGAACACCCTTTATTAAATTGAGAAGAGGAATATTTACCTCACATTTGCTGAAGGTCTCATAGATATCTTTGTCATTGTTGTATTTACGGTTGTCCTTGAGAGCCTCCGGGAAAGGTGGTACCGGCTCGTATGAGTTGAGCGGTGGAAACTTTCTTTGAGGTGTGACCTCCTCCTCCTTCTCTTCTTCATTTTGAGGATTTGTGCTTGGCACCAAGATATCCTCCTCTTCCTCTCCAACATGGCTCTTTGCTTTTGCCTTAGCCATAACCAATTCTTTGCCACTTCTCAAAGTGACCGTGTGAGATTGTTGCCTTGGATTCGGTTCCGTTTGAGATGGGAGTTTTGCCGAATCCTTAGCTTCAAGCCTACTCACGGCATTTGAGATTTGGCTCATTTGGTTTTCCAAATTGTGGATGCTTGATTTGGTCGTTTCTTGGAATTGGGTCACACTTTGTTGCATCGTAGCCATGTTCATGGCAAGTGATCGAATCATGTCTTCGGTGGACATGCTCGAGTTCGATGTTTGACCTTGTTGTTTATATTGTTGAGGGGGGAGGATTTGATTGTTGAGGAGGTTGAGAGTTTTCGTACCTTAAGTTGGGATGATCTCCATCCCGGATTGTAGGTGTTTCCGTGAGGATCATACCTCCTTTGGCCTTGGAAACCCAAAGCATTGACTTGCTCGGGGTTCTCCTCTTGAAATGTTGGGCAAGAATCGGTGGGATGCCCTTGTGTCGAGCATATGCCGCAGACCTTGACTTCTTGGGTTTTTGGATTCAAAAGAAAATCTTTAACCAAAGAAGTCAAGCCGGCCACTTGACTTTCCAACAAGTTGTTGGATTCCACTGCCATAACTCTTTTTTATGATGACCTCCCATTGTAGTGTCTCGAGTTTTCGGCTAATTCCGAAATGAGGTCTCTTGCTTGGGAAGGGGTTTTGTTAACAATACCCCCTCCGCATGCCGCATTCACCATGCGTCTATCTTGATCAACAAGCCCATCATAGAAGTAGAGGATGAGATCTTGTTCCGAATACCCATGATATGGGCAACTAGCGCATAATTTTTTAAAGCGCTCCCAATATTCGTACAAGGTCTCATCATCTGCTTGCTCAATGTTGCTAATTTGCTTTTTGAGACTTGAAGAGATAGATGCGGGATAGTACCTGTCGAGAAAGCTCTTTTTCATTTGAGCCCATGTGTTGATGTTACCCGAATGAAGATAGAAAAGCCAATCCTTCGCGGTGTCTTTTAAGGAGAATGGAAAGGCCCTTAGCTTGATTTGTTCCTCGGACACGCCATTGGGGCACATGCTTGTGCACACAATATGGAACTCCGAGAGGTGTTTGTTCGAGTCTTCCCCCCGTAGACCATGGAAAGAGGGAAGTAGATGAATGAGCCCAGATTTTAGCTCAAATGTGACCCCCGTATCAAGAGTTGGAAAAGTGATACATAGGGGTTGTTGATTTAGATTCGGAGCCGTGAGCTCCCTCAATGTTCTTGTTTCATGAGCCATAGTGATTGGCTCTTCGGTCTCGCTAGATTGAGAACTAGCACTTGATGATTCTCCCGAGTCAGAGTTTGAGAATTTGTTTTTCAACCGCTCGAGAGTTTGTTCTATTTCGGGGTTTGAGTGGTATGTGATTCGTTCAGTGAACGATATTTTACCATGTACTACAAAGCTCAGAAGAAATAGAAATCTTTATACTTGAACCATATTTTTTTTCTTTTCTTAAAATAAAATAAAAAGAAAAATTAATTGCATTTCCCCGGCAACGGCGCCAAATTTGACGTGCACTTTGTCGTGCGTGCGCTCAAAATAAATCGATACTAACACTTATACGTAGTATAGGTGAAGTAGAGTTCGTATCCACAGGGAAAGGAATAACTTTCTTTTTATGTAAATAGTAAATAAAGGGGGGTTTTG